AGCTTACTCGCTTGCTACTTGTTGCGTCATACTTGTCATGACCAGATATTGCATGAAGGAGAATGCTTGCATCAGCAACTGATGAGCCAAAACAACCANGACATTGTATGCCAAACTCCTCATATTCATAACAAGCATACAAGATCAAGTGTATTCAATGAATAAAACTTAGTAGAGGAGATTCTTTTCCCCTTTCTAAAATAGAAAAACATAGCACCTGAGGCAAATACAAGGAGTCATGAACTAAAGAACATGTACAGAAAGCTTACTCGCTTGCTACTTGTTGCGTCATACTTGTCATGACCAGATATTGCATGAAGGAGAATGCTTGCATCAGCAACTGATGAGCCAAAACAACCGATAACATCCAGAGATGAAGCATATGCCACAAGTCCATATCTTGAGACACGCCCATACGTTGGCTTCAGACCAACAACACCACAGAAAGATGCTGGTTGCCTAACACTTCCACCAGTATCACTTCCCAATGATACCATACATTGTCTAGCAGAAACAGCTGCAGCTGAGCCCCCTGATGAACCACCTGGTACTCGGGACAAATCCCAAGGATTTGCTGTCACCTGATAATACCAAGATGCATCACCTGAGTGAACCATGTTAAGTTACAAATTGAACTCTTTAGAGCAAATTCTTCCAACTACATTTATGTCACTCATTACTATCTGAGAATATGAAATTGAACCTACTCGTATAATTAACATGGTAGAGCATTCACTCTATCCCTTCTAATGCATACACCTTGACTCAGAACCCCAAAACAAAATGAGGGGCCCAACTCCTCATTGTTAGCAATTTTCCTATCAATCTCTTCAGCCTCCTTTAAAACGACGTCGGATACATATAAAAAGCTCTTGAGCTGCGGTTCTGTGTGGCGTAAGCGTTGAAGAAAAGTAGTGGCGAGGAGTTTGTACTGAAGATAGCATTTGGAGTTGGCTGAAGCTTACAGTGTGATATGGTGAGAAGGAGAAGCCCAAGGTTTTAAGAGGTTGTATCCATTTAAGGGGTCGTTTGGTTGGACCCTAACGCTAAATACCAGAGCGAATGAGAAAATAATTTTTTTTTTTCAATAATGAGACTTCTCGACACGAATATCTTTTAGTCTGAACGCAAAGCTGATACTGGACCCTAAATGGAAAACTAAAAGAATTTTGCAAAATGAGACTTTTAAATGATAATTAGTCGGATTTCAAAGTTGATGCAATCACCAAATGAAAAACTAAAAATATATCCATTGAAAGACTCTATATAACTAGTTAACTACAAGGAAAAAGAAACTAAGTATAACTATATATACTTGCAAAAAAAAAAGTATAACTATTATATTACTTAGTTCGCAACGTCTTTTTTGTTTTTCCTTACCATAAAGGGAGACATGGAATCTAAATTGGACCTTCCAATTCAATGCGAAAAGAGAGCCAAAAGCTTTTAACTCTGGTGTGTGCTAAACGTTAGTGCTTCTGTCCTAATGAAGGTAGGAATAATCTATGAATAGTTTATGTTGGAATAATCTTGGATTCAAAGGGTGCATTTCTATGTGAATATAATGTCAATCATGTTCGATGTATCTTAATTTGTGAAAAGATAATCAACTCATGTTGATCCATACTTGTAAAATTTTTCAATTTTACTTCCTTTTAACTTATGTCTCCAACATTTTAAGGGCAGAGATGCACAAGAAGTTTTTTTCATCTTCATATATAAACTTCAGGTACTGTTTAAGTCTGGATCCCAATATCCAAAGTAAACTATCAAGAACGTCCACAACTGAGTAATTCTTCAACAACAACAACAAAAAACTCAGTTTGATCTCATAAATGGAGTCTGGGAAAGGTAGTGTGTACGCAGACATTACCCCTACCTCATAGAGATAGTGAGGTTGTTTCCGATAGACCATCGGCTCAAGAAATAATGAAACACTGAGTAATTCTTCACACAACAATTAAATTTTATATGCAAGCAATGAGAGGCATAGAGTGGAGGAAACAAGTCTTTTCTCATGCCTTTTGGTATAGCTATCAACTTTTCATTGTCGCACCCTAACTCAATAGCCTTCGACTGCTTGAAGTTTTCAAGAAATTTCATGAGCTCAGAGTACCAATGACTATCAAGTGCTTGCCCAATGAACACATTGAGTATGACCTCTAGCAAAATTGAAGCTTTAATCAGTTTGAACTTTGAATGTTGGCAATCTAGAACAAGTATATGAGAACCTTGTTAAATTAGGAGTATCTAGCTTAACAACAATCATATTTTGAGACATTACAACAAGATGCTTGAGCCGGTAGCTTTAACTATTCATTGTGTTCAATCTTGTGCAGCTGAGTAACTTCAAGATTTCTAGGTTTGGTAGATTGGAGAAAAGATATTCTAACCATTCATTAGTGACATTCACACGACGGAGGAACAAACTTTTCAAGGCTTTGCAAGCAGCTACATTCATTACTTCTAGCTCATAATCACTGGTCATGTGAAGATCTTCAAGATTAGGTGCTATAATATCAACCATCTGAATTCAGAAGGACAATATCCAACCAAACCTTCCTCAGTTTGGGTAAAGTTCTTGCAGTGAAATTGAAATAAAGTTAAAGCCTCTAAGCCATTGCAGCTTTTACTAGGGGTAGCAAATGGGAGTGTTGGGCTGAATTTGGGCGGTTCAAGATGGGTTAGGTCAATAAATGAGTTATTGTCCAACCCAGTCCAAAGTGTACTTGGGCTAAGATGGGCTGGGTCAAGATGTGCTAAACAGTGGCGGGCCCAAGTGGTGGCTAGCGGGTTCAACTGAACCCGCTTCACAAATAAATAATATTGTGTATATGTATAAATTAAGGTTAAAACTGTGTAAATTTTGCATAAATATTTTATTTGAACTCATTTGACAACTACTATTTTACCACTAAATTTATATACTTCTAAGATTGAACCCGCTTGTATAAAATCCTGGGTCCGCCACTGGTGCTAAACAATAGGTCATAGCCCAACCCGCCAACTTGACCCATGTTTTAGAACCATGCTCATCTTGCATAAACAAAACATTTTAAAAAAACGAAAATACAA